AGTCAGATGTTCTATGTTGAACAGTTTAAGAATATCTTCACATACATAGGGAGTAAGGGAAGGAGGAAGGGAATCCTGAATAGTTTAGGAATATCTTCATATACTCAGGGAGTAAGGGAATCCTGAAGTCAGTATAAAGAGAATAAAGAAAGCCTGAACCCCAAGGAGATCAAAGAAGGGGAAATAATCCATACGCACAAAAATATTTATAGCAGCTCTTTTGTGGTAGCAAAAAACCCTGAAAATTAAGGGATGGCTCATTAATCGGGGAATGGTTGAACAAAATATGGTATATGAATGTAATGGAATACTAATGCGCTGTAAGAAATGATGAAAGGGATGGCTTCAAAGAAACCTGGGAAGATTTGCATGAACTGATAAAGAATCAGGTGAGCAGAAACAGGAACAATTTACACAGCAACAACAATGTTGTTTGTCCTTCATTCTTGAAGAAGACCAAGGTAATCGGGAAGATAATGTCATGACTTGTTTATTTATTTTTTTTTGGCTACGCAATGGGGTTAAGTGACTTGCCCAAGGTCACACAGCTAGTAAGTGTTAAGTGTCTGAGGCCAAATTTGAACTCAGGTCCTCCTGACTCCAAGGCCGGTGTTCTATCCTCTGTGCCACCTAGCTGCCCCAATGTCTTAACTTAATAAGACACAACGTTTGAACAACTTTGAAAGACTTAAGAACCCTGATCAACTCGATGACCAAACGTGATTTACAGAAAGATGGTGAAGAAGCATGCTACCCACCTCTTGACAGAGAGCCGATGGCCTCAGGCTACTTACTGAATGAAACATATATATGTATTTGGACACAGTCAATGTGGGGATTTGTTTTGCTAGACTAGGCTAATTTGTTACAAGGGTTTTATTTTTTCTTTCCTTTTTCCAATGGAGGGAGGGGGAAAGATTTTTGTTAATTTGGAAAAATAAAACTTAGAAAAAACTTTTAAAGGGAGAAAAAGAATTTTTCAGAGAATAGGGAAAGACCTGGGTAGGGATAACACTAGCTTTCTCCATCTCCCCTTCCATTTTTCCTTCTGGTCTTTGAACTCCCACGTAAGGCACTCTAGCTGGCCCTGGCCCTCTGGACCTCAGTCCCCAAGCTCACCTGTTTATTGTACTGTCCAGCCTCTGCCTCTCCCTCCTCCTCCTCCTCAGATTTCTCATCTTGTTCCTCCTTTCCTTCCTCTTCTTCCTCTATATAGGGCAGGACAGACTCTTCCAATTTATGTGTGGATGATTTTCTTCTCTTTGTGAAAGACTTGACTTTTAGCAACTAAAGTGGGGGGGGGGCAAAGAAGACAGGTTTCAAGACTCCCTCTTTTTCCCTTTCCATATCTAGACTCCCTCTGCAATCCTCCAAACCAGGGTTTCTTAACCCTTTTTGTGCCATACACCCCTTCAGCAGTCTGGTAAAGCCAATGGAGCCATCCGCAGAATGATGTTTTTAAGTACATAAAATGACATAATACTAATTATTATTAATATAATTCAATATAATTATTATATTATATATTATAATTCAATGTAATTATTGTATATAATACATCATTATATAATTCAATGTAATTATTATATATTCTATTATATATCATTATATAATATAATATAATATAATTCAACATCATCATTATTATTTGCTGTGGCCACTGTAAATGGATGTCCAAGTTTGGAATCTCTTCTCTCTTTTCCTGTAGCCCATGCATTCACACATAAAAGTATGTTTTCTAAAAGTTTATTTACCTTTATGGAAGAAAACAGGAAATTAGATACCTTAGGGGACAGGATGCTGGGCCTGGAGTCAGGAAGACCTGAGTTCAAATGTGGCCTCAGACACTTACTATGTAAACCTGGGCAAGTCATTTAACCTCTGTTACAAATGATACTAATACAAATCATACTAATTACAATGAAATAGTTATTAAAAAAATTTTTTTAAGTTCATGGACCCCAGGCTAAGAACTCCCTGCCCAAACCCAATCCCACTATGGCTCAAAGCAACATCCTCTGCTAAGCCCTTGTATGAAGACTGTCTTTTGTAAATTTTCAGGATGACCTGTCTGTCCCTTTGGGTTACTCTGAAGTTGTGAGGTTATGAGAATACTGTCTTGTACTTCTTGTTTTTACTGTAGGGGTGGGGGGGCAATGGGGGTCTTAGGGACTTATGTGGCAAATAGTTAGGAACCCTCAAGGCTGTTCTCCCCCTCCCCCCACCCCCAACCATGTTATCAGAAGGCTGGCTGAAATTAAACCAATGAATTAATTCCCAATGAGTTCAATTCAGAACACAAGTGGACATTCTGACCCTGCTTGGTGATATTCCAAGACAGAAGACTCTATTCTCTCTTTAGAACTGGACCCAATGGGCTCAAGACCTAGAGAAGGTCTTCGACCAAGCTAGGTCTAGATAAAACATCTAGTCAAGAAATTTAGATTTTCTTCAAGAAGGACTTCAAATAACTGAATGATATCTGAATGGGTATATTCTGTTCCCTCCCATTTTGTCATTGTTCAGTGGTTCAGTCATGCTGACTATTCAGGATCCCATGGACCATACTGTCCGTGGAGTTTTCTTGGTAAAGGTGCTGAAGTGGTTTGCCATTTCCTTCTCCAGTGGATTAAGGTAAAGAGAGGTTAAGTGACTTGCCCATGGTCACACAACGAGTGTCTCAGTCCACATTTGAACTGAGGTCTTCTGACTCCAGGCCCAGCACTCTATCCATTGAGCCACCTACCTGCATGTTTTCTTCCATAGATGTAAATAAACCTTTAGAAAATACACTTTTATATGTGAATGCATGGGGTAAAGGAAAGGGGAGAACATATTCCAGACTCGGGTATCCATTTATGGTGGCCACAGCAAAGGAAGGAAAACATAGTTAGAAGAAGACTGGGTGCTCCAGATCTCCGAAACAAGGGAGCTCAGGGGCCAGGAAGAGGGCTTAGTGACCAGTGAAAGTGTGCAGAGAAATGAAAGGTGAACAGCGTGAGGCCCCAAAAGGTTAAATTTTCCAACATCTGGCACAAGGAAGAAAAGAAGCCAGAATCCTTAGAACACTGAATAAAATGATGACAGCCTAAAGCCCAGAGCTGGCTCTTCCATGACCCATCCCTCCTCTCCAAGGACCACCCCCAGATATTGAGTACCACCCTCACCCCCCTTCCTTCTTCCCACTTGATGAGAAAGACCCAAACTCTTCCTTCTGTTGCTGCCCAGATGACTTTTCTTTCAAGGAAACCTGAGATGACTACAATAGCTGTGAGGACGAAGGGAGATAGCTGGTTTTGGTTTTTTTTTTTCCAAACATCATGAGGATAGTGGGAAAAGTGCTGGATTTGGAGTCAGATGACCTGGGTTGGGATCTTAGCTCTGTCACTACTTCTCTGACCTTGAGCAAATCACTTTCATCTTTCTGGGACCACTTCCTCATCTGTTAAATGAAGGTCCTTTCAGGCTCAAAATCTAGGCTCCAAAGATCCTTTACTCCTCCTGGATCCCACTCCCCAATAACAGCCACCCAGACCCCCTATGTAATCCTCTTTATAAAATAGCAAACCCCCTCTAGTTCAATAATCTCCTCCATCAGACTCCTATAAGGAAAGGGATTGTTTCTGTGACTCTTGGAAGTGCTCTGGGTATCCCTTGGACTATTTTGATGTTTTGACATAATAGGAACACTATGCCACATCTTTTATATTTCTTTATTTTTCCACTCTTGGGATAGAATGACTTGGGTGGGGGTGGGAGGAGAAATGAGAGAGGTGTTGGAACATTCAAACACCATCAAACATCATGCAATCAAATGTGGTAGCTAGGTGGCACCATAGAGCACTGGGCCTGGAGTCAGGAAGACCTGAGTTCAAATCCAGCCTCAGATGCTTCCTAGCTGTGTGACCCTGGGGAAGTCACTTAACCCCTGCCTGCCTCATCTGTTTCCTCATCTGTAAAATGGGGGTAAAAATAGTGCCTATCTCTCAGGTTTGTTGTGAGGATCAAAAGAGATAATATTTGAAAAGTATTTGACAAACCTTAAAGTAGTATATAAATGTTAGCTATCATTGTCTGAGAATAAATTTTAGATTACAGAATACAATCCACAGCGCCCAATTGAGCAAATCCCAAATGTACATGGGGGTATTCTGGAGTGGCTACTCTCTCCATGGGCTGGACATCATGGTACTCCAGATCCTGGATCATGGACCCTAGTAGAACGAGGGAGCTCCAGCTGGCTGGAATAACTTTGATGGCACTTTTTTTTTTTTTTTGTGAGGCAATAGGGGTTAAGTGACTTGCCCAGAGTCACACAGCTAGTGAGTGTTATGTGTCTGAGACCACATTTGAACTCAGGTCCTCCTGACTCCAGGGCCGGTGCTCTATCCACTGTGCCACCTAGCTGCCCCTGGAATAACTTCGAAAACTTAAATACCATTGAACCCAGGAACATGTTGTTTTCTTCTAGACTAAGGGCTCTTAACTTGAAATCTTTGAAACTTAAGAAAAAAATTTTTTCTGGATAAGTATGTTTCAATATAATTGGCTTCCTTTATAAGCCTATGGATTTAATATTACTCATTTAAAAACATCATTCTGAGAAAGGATGCATAGGCTTCACCAGACTGTCCAAGAAGTCCTCAACCACAAAAAAGGTTAAAAATCCCTATGCTATGATTTCACATTGCTTTACCTTCTCAGTGAGTGTGGGAGGACGAGGAAGGAAGAAGAGAATTTAGAACCAAAATTTTTTTAAATAAATGTTAATATAAGTAATAATTTTTTTTTTTAAAGAATCCCTATGCTAGTTGTATCTCTAGTAAATGTTGGGTCATTTTTCAGTCGTGTCCCACTCTTCATGACTCCATTTGGGGTTATCTGGGCAAAGATACTAACTAGAGTGGTTTGCCATTTCCTTCTTTAGCTCATTCTATAGATGAGAAAACTAAGGCAAACAGGGTTAAGTGACTTACCAGGGTCACATGGCTAGTAAGTATCTGTCTAGGGCTGGATTTGAACTGGAGAAAGTCAGTCTTCCTGACTTTGGGTCCAGCACCACTACCCACTGTGCCACCTAGCCGCCCAATAACTATTGTTTATGAAATTGTATATTCTCTGTTGCCCCCTAAACAAACCCTAGAAAAATCCACTCTTAAAAAAGAAAAGAAAAATAAGAAAACCCACTGTTATATGAATAGATAGACTCCAGACTTGGGCATACAGTTATGACGGCAACGGGTAATTAGGGTGTGGGAACAGCAGACCTTTGGACTCAGAGAACAGAGCCAGGTCGGGGGATGGAAAGGTTCCCGAAGCTGTCTTTCTCTGGTTAGGGTACTGTGATTAGTAAAGAATTGGAACAAAGCAAATCAGAAACCCTGGAGCCAGGGGATCATGGCTTTAGAGCTGGAAGGGAGAGGTCACTGAGTCCACTCCTAAAAGCGACAAAGAAGGGGGCAGCTGGGTGGTGCAGTGAATAGAGCTTTGGCCTTGGATTCAGGAGGACCTGAGTTCAAATACAGCCTCAGATACATAACACATACTAGCTGTGTGACCCTGGGCAAGTCACTTAACCCCATTGCCTAGCCAAAAAAAAAGTGACAAAGAAACTGAGGGCGGCTAAGTAAAAGCTTGATTTCATTTGCTGGGTCACAGAGTTAAGAAATATCTAAGGAAAGATCTGAACCCAGGTCTTACTGACTCCAAGTACAGTGTTCTATTCACCCACCTGCCTAGGCAAAGGCCTCCTAGACATGTTCCAAAAAGGTCCTAGAACCCTCAGGAAGCTGGGGGGAACTCCACAGGGCCTAAGGCCTCGAGCTGAATGATTCATAGCCCCTCAAGGCAACTAGGATTGGTGGCACAGTGGATAGACGGCTGGTCATGGAGTCAGGAAGACTCGAGTTCAAATCTAGCCTCAACTACTTCCTAGTTGAGTAACTCTGGGTAAGTCACTTAATTGCTGTCTGCCTCAGCTTCCTCATCTATAAAATGGAGATTAATAATAGCACCTTCCTCCCAGGGTCTTTGTAAGAATCAAATGAGATATTCGGAAAGTGCTTAGCATGGGGCCTAGCACGCAGTAGGCGCTTAACAAACACTTGTTTCCTTCCCTTTCTCCCCAAGGCTGTTTGATCTTGAGGGCACCCCCAAACCTTAAGTTCATTTTCTTTGTCCTCCGCAGGCGGGTCAGACAGAGCCTCTTTTTTCTGATGGACAGTTTGTTTCTTGCCCTTCACCAGAACCTTGCCCTTCAGCTGCTGTGGAGGTCAAGAGAGAAGGGTCAATCCTTCCTCCCCACCTTGCTTCCACAAACACAGATGGCTACAAACTCCCAGAGCTCATGGCCCCGTTGCTCAGGGCACACATCCCTTCCCAATGCTCTCCCCTGCCAAGACACTGAACCCTTCAGCCAGGATATCCCTCCCCTCTTGGGATGCCCAGCTTTATCATCAAGTTCTGACCCGGTCAGAGCTCCCAAACCCAGATGTGGGGGGAGGGGTTCGCCCTCCCATGGGGAGCAGACCCCCTGCCTCCCTCACTTCCCACTCCTTGCCAGTCTGGTGGGGGCATCACCTCTGGAGAAGGCAGCTCTTCAGGGATTTTCCCGTCCAGAGTTTCTGTCACCAGCATGTTCCCCAGGATGGTCCGTAGATAGTGAGCCATGGTGGACTGCTGCTGCATCCCACAGTGGTTCTCCAGGGATAAGATGACGGGGTACGGAGACAGCTGGTGAAGGGGAGCAGGGAGGTTCTGTTCCTCAAAACCCTCAGGCTGAGCCCCAGCCCCACACCCTACCAGGACAAGAAGTACAGGGGAAAAGTGGGCAGTCCAGACAGGCGGGGAATCAGACGCCGCTTACCGTCTACGCTACCTTTCGAAAACTTGATTTTCCGATTTGTAAAAAGAAGAGGACGGGACCAGGTGGCCTCTGCGGTCCCTTCCGCCTCTAAATCTATGATTGTTTGGCATTCAAGGCTCTTCACAACCTAGCCCAGGGGTGGGGAACCTGCGGCCTCCAGGCCTAGCCTCTTCTAAACTTGCCAGTTTTTTAAGACGTTACTCCCGCTGTTGAACTCTGTGGTATAGTTAAGAGTGCCGTAAGACCCGAGTTTGAATCCTGCCTCAAACGCTAGGTGTGTGACCCTGGGCAAGTCAGCTAACCACTGTCTGCCTCAGTTTCCAAAATGTTGAACTTGGCCTCTGAGGTCGCTTCTAGCTCTAAATCTGTGATGTTGAGTGACGTCGGCCTACTTACTGCTCCTCACACATGAGGCTCTATCTCTAGTCTGTCTTTGCACTGGCTCTGTGCCTAAAATGCCCTCTGTCCTCACCTCTTAGAATCCCTGGCTTCCTTCAAGATCTACCCTTCTGCTCAAGGCCTTTAGTGATCATACACTACCCCTCAAAGGCTAGTGCCTTCCCCTCTAAAGTTATCTTGCATCTATTGTGTGTGTGTGTGTGTGTACATATTGTCTCCCCCGTTAGAATGTAAGCTCCTTGAGGGCAGGGACTGGTTTTTTATTATTTCTTTGTATTCTCAGCACTTAGCACAATGCCTGGCATATAGTGGGTGCTTAATAAATGCTTGTTGATTGATATAGAAGGTGCTTAATAAATGCTGATTGACTGATTCTAATTCTATGAAATCAAACAGCAGGACCCTCTGAACTCTCCTCCGACCCCCAAAACACAGGGTCATGAGGCTTTGTAGACTCTGGGTTGTTCACACACTAATCATGGCATGGATGGGGCTGAGGGGGAGGTCTTGGCATGATGGATGGATGTCATGGGGCAGGGGCAGGGGGGTGGAAGGAGGTTGGTTGAGAGGTCACAAGACAAAGGAGAGAGGAAGCTGGCGGCAGGTCACTGTGGAAGTCTTGGGGAAGGTTGAGGGATAATGAAGGGCACAGTCAGGACTGGGATGGGACAGATGTCTCATCACACAAGTGTCTGGGGCTGAGGGCTGGGATAGGACAGGACAGGTCAGGATGGGACAGGGCAGGGCAGGGCAGCAGCTCACCGAGAAGGCATGGTCCCGCACAGCTTGGATGACATCCCGAAAAAGGATCTTAGAGGTGAATGTGTGCCCGTGATAAACGACAGGTTCTCCATCCGGCCCCTCCCAACAGTCCAGCTCCACACACCTGCAGCCCTGAGCAAATGCCCTGATGGGGGTCGAGGAAGAAGAGAGGGCCCAGCTCAGGACAGGGAGAGAAGGGATCCGAGACGCCATCGAATCTAATCCTCTCATTTTTCAGATTAGGAAACTGAGGCCCAGAGAGGCTAAATACCTTGCCCAAAGCCATACAGCTTGTAAATGGTAATATTGGAACCCAGGTCTTCTGACTCTAAATCCATCATTCTTTCCACTATACTACAAACTATGCCTGAGACAAGGTCCCAGGGGGCCTGAGATGGGGGCTGGAGAGCTAAAGATCCCATCTTTCAATGACTCAGTTGCCCTTGAGCAGCTCTGGCTCACATACCTAAGTACATGCATTTTCTCTTGGTCTTCATGCTGCTGCCCAAGGAAGGGCCCCCAGGGCCCAGGTACGAGTTCCTCAGACTCTGGGGTCCCATTAGTCATACCTGATATAGGCCTCTGTGCTGCTGACACCACCAATTTGGGACTGGGTCAGGTAAGTATTGTGGGAAGAGGAGATAAAGTAATGGGAGAGGGGCTGATTCATGTCTTGGTAGACGTCTTTGTGCGTTGGGTCCAGGACAGCGCCGTCAGGTGACAGTAGGAACATCATGAAACCATCCAGCATCATCAGGTTGTGCTGTTTAGCTATAGGCAGGAGGGAAGAGGAGTCAGCTCTGGTTGGAGGATGGGCAGGAGGGAAGAGGGCAGAGGTAACCTTCTCAGCCCTGGCCACTCGCAGCCCTTTGGACACATTCCCTTTTCCTTCTGCAGTGTGCCACACCCCTCCTTCCCCAGGTCCCTGCACCCCAGCCTCCTCCTCCTCCTCCCACTCATTCCCCCAAACCTTTGTAACCTGCCCCAGGTTTCCTGGGACCTTTCACCCCCATTCCCACCGTCATGTCTAGACCCTTTCCTTACTCATTCCAAATTCATCCCTTCCTCCCACCCTTCACCCAGCTCTCTTTCCTCTGTTCTTCCTTCCAAGATCAGTCCCCCCAAGCCTGGCCCAGCCCATCTTCTCCCACACATACACCTTTCTCATTAAGCTCATAGGTACGGATTAGGTGCTGCGCCTGGGCCACAGTGGCTCCCTCCTCTCCTTGGTCATGGAGAAACTCCAGCAGCTCAGTGGCACTCAGGACTCGGTCTTCCCCAGAGTAGCGGTAAAAGATTTCCTCCAATTCCGGCCGTTTCAACAGCCGCCGGAGAAACTCTTCGATTTCAGCATCTTCAAGCTGCTCGTTCCGAGAGCTGTCACACTCCTAGGGACACCGAGACATCTTACAGGAGGGGACCTGGGCTCTCCACCCCACTCCCCTCCCACCAGATGCACTGTCAAAGTCCAGCACAACACAAACAACTTATAATGATGATGATAATGATAATGATACCGGTATAATAATACTAGCTAGCATATGGAGTCACTATGCTTTGTAAAACATCACTAGAGGGGGCAGCTAGGTGGTGAAGTGGATAGAGCACCGGCCCTGAAGTCAGGAGGACCTGAGTTCAAATCCGGCCTCAGACCAAACACTTGACACTTAATAGCTGTGTGACCCTGGGCAAGTCACTTAACCCCAACTGCCTAAAAAAACAAAAAAACAAAAACATCACTAGAGGAGAGCAGCGCTTATTTCTAAAACACTGTCAGGGTGACAAAGTCCTTTACCCACAACAGGACTGCAAGTGTGAACTGTCCCCATTTTGCAGATAAGGAAAACTGAGGTCCAAAACTTGGCCCAGGATTACACAGTTAGTAAGCATTAGAGCTGAACCTCGAACCCACGTCTTGAAAGAGAGAGAAAGAAAAAAAAGAAAAAAAAACCAACAATGGCTTTGTAGCCAGTTGAAATTCTTGTCATGCTACTTGTGACCTGTGTCATGTCATCTCTGATCTCTGAGACTCAGTTTCCTGGTCTATAAAAGGAAGGAGCAGTACTGGATGGCTCTCAGGTCCCCTCCCACCTCTGACAAATTTTGACCTCATGATCATCATTACTACCATTCCTAATATTATCATATGTTCTACGTGATACAAGTGTCTTCTCACAAGTACAACATGTCCTTTTCTATCAGAGACAACCATCGAATTTTACATCCTCCCAGGATGGAAGTAAAGCAGGGATTGTTGCCCCATTTGACAGATGAGAATACTAAGACCTAAGCTGGTGACCAGTGGCTTGCCAAAGGTCACATAATAATAATAGCTAGCTGTTGTTTTTTCATAACACTTCAAAAATCTGCAAAGTGCTTTGACAGAGAGAAGGTGTCCTAAAAATCTTAGTGCCATTTTTAGCTTTAATAGCTTAAAACAGCAAAATTACGAATTTTGGGATTCCTTCTATTTATCATATTTGATGCTCACAACAACCCTAAGAGGAAAATGCTATTATTACTATCCCCATCTTACAGGTGAGTAAACTGAGTCATAGAAAAGTTGAAGTGACCTAATCCAAGGTCGCACAGCTAGTAAGCATGGGAGGTTTGGGGTGGGGTGGGGGGAGTCTTTCTTGAGTACATGGCTCTAGCCACTGGGCTTCCTGGCTACCTCATTTGCTTTCCATGGCTAGTGTATGGTAGAGCCAGGAGGAATAGACTCAAGTTTCCTGAAGCCTTAACCCAGCCCTCTTCCCCACGCACTGTACTGTTGTCCACAAAGCAAGCAAGCTGAGGGGAAATGGGGACAGCAATGGTCAGCTAGGTGGTGCAGTGGATAAAGTACCATGCCTGGACTTAGGAAGACCTGAGTTCAAATTCGGCCTCAGATACTCACTAGCTGTGTGACCCTGGGCAAGTCACTTGACCCTGTGTTTTTTTTTTGCCTCAGTTTCCTTATCTGTAAAATGAACTGGAGAAGGAAATGGCAAACCACCCCAGTATCTTTGCCAAGAAAACCCCAAAGTGGGATAACAAAAAGTTGGACTAAAAAACAACTGAACAACAACTACAAAGAACAGGGATAATAATAGCCTTACCTTCCAGGGTTGTTGTGAAGGTCAAATGAGATATTTGTAAAGCACCTTAAAGCACTTTATAAATGTTATTACAGCCAACAATTTTGATGTGTTATAAATATTATTATAGGCATCAGATTGCACACCATCTTAGAGAGGGAAGTGGGGAAGAAGGGGGAGAAAATTTAAAACTCAAAAGCTTATGGAAGTGAATGTTGAAAACTAAAAATAAATTAATAATATTATTATAGGTAGCTAGGTGGTTCACTGAGTACTGGGCCTAGAATCAGGAACATCAGAGTTCAAATTTGAGCTTAAGCACTCACCAGCTGTATGACCATGGGCAAGTCACCTAACCTCTGTCTGCTTCAGTTTCCTCACCTATAAAATGGGGATATAATAGTAACTACCTCCCTGGATTGTTAGGAGGATAAAATGAGAAAATATTTTCAAAGCTTTTTACAAACCTTAAAAAATGTTCTATAAATTCTAGCTATTATTATTATTACTATTAAACATTCTTTTACAGATGAAGAAACTGAGGTTAAATGACTTATTCAAGGTCACAGGGGTATGGGGACAGGGATTCTGAACCCAGATTTTTTCTGACTCCCGGTCCAGCAATCTATCCACCACACTGGAATTCTTAATCCCTTTTTGTGTCAGGGACCCCTCCAGTAATCTAGTGAAGACAATGGACCACCCCTTCTCAAAACGCATAAAATAAAAATCCATTGGATTACAAAGGATACTGATTATATTGGAATATTTTTTAAAAACAAGTTCATGGGAGGCAGCTAGGTGGCCCAGTGGATAAAGCATCAGCCCTGGAGTCAGGAGGACCTGAGTTCAAATGTGACCTGAGATACCTACTAGCTATGTAACCCTGGGTAAGTAACTTAACCCCAATAGCTTCTTTTTTTTATTATTATTAATTTATTTTGATTTATCAACAATCACTTCCATAAACTTTTGAGTTTTAAATTTTTCTCCCCCTCCCTCCCCCCTTCCCCAAGATGGTGCACAATCTGATATTGGCTATACATATACATTTCTACTAAACATTTTCACATTAGTGATCTTGTAAGGAAGAATAAGAACCAATAGGAGGAACCACCAGAAAGAGGAAACAAAACAAAACAGAAGAAAAAAAATAGCAAATCGTATGCTTCAATCTGCATTCAAATTCCATAGTTTTTTCTTTGGATGTGGATAGCATTTTCTATCATGAGACTTTTAGAGATGTCCAATAGCCTCTTAAAATGAAAAACAAAAACAAGTTCATGGACTCTTCAGGTTAAATGCTCCTCGATTATAGCATGAGCCCACAGGCCCACATACTATGTCTGCATGGTATGTGTTGTGTTCACCTGTATGAGTCCACATGGTGGAGGAGCCTAGTGTGTGCTCACACAAGCACCACAAACATGGTACTTGTGCTGACGTGGGCCCAGGGTGTGCCCACACATGCTCCCCGTGTGACCAGTCGAAGTTTAGCAAACCAAACAAAAGCGGGGAAGGTTATCTGGGCTGGACTCTTCCCTCCCCACTTCCATCCGTCAGGTCCCTCACCTACTTTGGGTTAGAGATCTCGGAGTTGGGCAGCTGGGGGAAAGGAGGAATCTAAGTTCAAACCTCCTGATCCCAGAGGGGTGAATGATGAAGCACGCTGCCTACCTCCTGAGAGGGGAAGCTACACAATAAGACATATTTCTCTTTGGACGAGGCCATTCAGGAATTTGTTTTGCTAGACTATGCATATTTATTACAAAGATTTTTTTTTCCTTTTGTGTTTCAGTGGGGAATGGAAGATGGTAAGGAAATAAAATAGATTTTTATTCATTTACAAAATTAATTTTTTAAAATGTAGACACATAAAGAAAAAAAAAGTTTGAGCCTCCAGGCTCTCCAGCTTCCTTGTAGGATAAAGGGCCAGGACCCCTAAATTCCCCTTGTGTCCCCACCCAGGCCTGATTTAACCTGACAGTTAAGGTAACGAGTCCCAGATGTTGCAAACTCCAGAGAGAAGAGCCTGCTGTCTCACTAACAGCTGAGCTCAAGAGGCTGGGGAGGGAGGTGGTGGCAATGAGTCAGCGAATTCTCCAGAAAAAGGGGTAGGGGTGAATAAAGTGCTTGACAGGGAGGCAAGAGTACTGGGTTCTAGTCTCAGTTCTGCCATTTCCCTATCCTGGGCAAGTGCCTCAGTTTCCCTTTCTGTAACATGAGGGAGGTTAGACTCTAAGATCCTTTCCAGCTTTGAATGTCATTCTATTGAGCTAATCAGGAAGAGAGTAGGGACAGTTCTCTGAGTAGGCTGCTCTGTAGCATCAGGGTCCCTCCCCTAAAAGGGCACCTGGGTGGCACAGTGGATAGAACACCCAGCCCTGGAATCAGGAGGACCTGAGTTCAAATCTGACCTCAAACACTTACTGGCTGTATGACCCTGAGCAAGTCACTTAACCCTGGTTGCCTAAAAAAATTAAAAATTAAAAAAAATAAATAGGTAGTCAGTAGGAAAGAGAATGAAAGAAAAGGGCCAAAAAAGGGACCGTAAGGGATGGGCTCACAAGCCTAATCTCATCTGACCTCAGAAACTAAGTATCGTTGGGCCTGCTTAACACTTGGATGGGAGAAGAGAAGCCTAAATCTGGAATCAGAAGACTTGTCTGCATTTGAATCCTGGCTCTGCCACACATTAAGACTGTGACCTTGGACAAATAGCTTAACTTTTCCGTGCCTCAGTTTCCTCATCTGTAAACAGGTGGTTGTACTACCTCTGAGGTCTCTTCTAGCTTTAAATCTATAAATCTATTCTATGATGGGAGTAGGTGGTCTGAGAGCTGAAGGGCATGGGGTGGCAGGGAGGGGGTTAGGGACTGAGTGATTCAGTTAGCATAAAACAAAGGGATCCAGAGAATGAAGAAGAAAAAAGAGGAAGGGTGCCAGGAAAAGAGATGAAGAAGAAAAGCAAAATGGTGTCAGACTGGTAAGTGGGGGGAGAGGCTGGGTGAGAACAGAGTACCTTGAATAGTTGATGGGCATACATGTCATCCATGGTCACGTTCACCATCTGAAGAAGGTGTTTGATTTCCTTGAAACTCATCTTGCTGTCGTGGTCTGAATCTGCCTGATGTAGGTAGCCATGGATCCAAGTGAGAAAGTTCAGGAAGCCACACACTGAGAGGATCTGCACCCCTGCCCCTACCTGCTTCCCCCTCATACACTCTCCCTCCCTCTGCCCAGGGCTCCCTGCCTGGACTGCTCTTCTCATCTCTCAATCTCTATCCTGGGTGTATGCCTTGTCTTCTCTTTCGTTCTGAAGCCCTCTCTGGGACTGTCATCCCCATCACGCTGGGAGTTTCCAAATCAGCCCTCTTGGGGTTGCTCACACAAGACACGCTACCTCCAGATTTTGTACCTTTGCCAAGGTTGTGTCCCACACCTGGAATACGCTCCTTCCTCACCTGTGTCCCTTAGAATTCCTGATTTCGTTCAAAACTAAACTCAAATACCAGCTCCAAAGGAGGTATTTCCCGATTCCACCTCTCCTTGCCCCAGCTGCTAATTTTGCATACATCATGTTCATACTTAAATATTCACTATCATACATGTCGATAGAATGTAAGTTCCTTGAGAGCAGAGACTGATTGTTCTGGTCTCCGAATCCCCACGTAGCACCGTGCCAGGCACATTTTAAGTACTTATAAGATGATTGACAGATTGATTGGTAGGTTGACTGTGCCCTCCCAATCCATCAGCCAGACTCCCTGAAGGCAGAGACTGGGAACTTTCAGGGTATGGCCACTGGGCCTCCTCCATCACAATGAAGGCAACCACTGTGTGAGTCTTATCAGACTGGCCTGGAACCCTTCACAACCTGACCCCTTCACAGACTCCCAGTCTTCTCACACTCTACTTCTTTCTCCCCTATTCTATAACCGAGCTACTTGGATACTACGATGAGGGTGTATTTGCTGTTCCTCCTACAGGATACTCCATTTCCTGACTCTTCCCCAACCCTGATCTCACTCCTTTTCTCTGTCTATCCTCAAGCCTACCTAAAAGGCTCTCCCTCCTTATCTTCCTCTCAAATCTTCCCAGATCTCCCAGAATACTCAACTCAAATCTCACCTTCGATGGAGGCCTTTCCAGATCCCTTCCTCCCCCATACCTTCCCCCAAACCTTAAATTCGGTCAATTCTCCAAGACTATCTTCTACCTACTTGGTCAATCAGTTGTTATGTGCTTAGGTGTTTGTAGGTTGTCTCCTCCATTAGAATACAAACTTCTTGAGGGCAGGGAATGCATTTTTATTTTTTGCCTTTTTTTTTTTTAGCACAAGCACAATAATGTTTGTTAACTGACTGCCTGAGGGAAGGAACTAGTCTAAGAGTCGCTTTGTATCCCCAGGGCTTAGCGCAAAGCCAGGCGCACCCTACTTAGTTTCTGAGGTCAGAAGAGGTTGGGCAAGTAAGCCCAACCCCTAGGGTCCCTCCCTTGGGTTTTTTCTTACATCCTCTTCCCTAAAGACTACCTTCTCAGTCTATGGCTAGTTTGTTTGTATTTTGAGGCAATCTAGGTTAGGTGACTGCTCTGGGTCATACAGGTGATGACAGACTGAAGGCGTGTCTGGGTCAAAGTGTCTTCCTCGCTGTGAACTACCCCCCCCCCCCATACACACACATAGACACACAACTCTGGCCACAGTCTAGGTCCTGAGGCCTGGGGAGTACCGAAGGACCCGCTGGCAGTCCCGGGGATCTTGCTTCAGCCCCAGCTCCAGGAAAGGATATTGGTCAAGCTTTTCCCTCTGGCTCATGGCGTCCAGACGCGCCCGGAGCTTGGCCAGGCCACGCACCCAGCGCTGTGCCTCCTCCTCGGTGGACGCTGCCAGGTCCAGGTTCTTGCACCTGCCCTTGAACGTGATGGTGAGGCAGCAGCTGGAGGGGAAGGCGCCGCCGTAGCGCCGCAGCCCCTCGGACTGATGGCCCTGGCGCACGGCCTCGATGTGCTGCAAGGAGACTGCGCGGGGACGGGGGCAAGACCGGTATGTAAGGGGGAGGCGGGGGTGTCGAAGAGTCACCGAATCAGCTTTAAACGGAGCTGGAAAGGACTTGGAAATCTGGGAGCCCACCTCACCCCCACCCCGGAGCAAGTCGGTGGCGGAGCTGGGATTCAAACCCGGGTCTTCTGACCCCTAACCCCAGCCTCAACTACCCGGAGAAGAGCCAAGAGCAACAGCTGCTGGAGTGGGGGACACAAGGGCTAGGCTGACCACCACGGGCAGCCCCAAGATAGGGGGTTGGGGCTTGTGAGAGGCACCTGGGGAGGGGAGAGCGATAGAGGGCACAGGGTCACTCACAGACGTGATGAGACTTAGGGTGTCGGAAGCGGCGCTGGAACCACACGGTCATGCAGTCTTCCTGCAGCCTGTAGAAGCGGACCTTCTGCCACTTTAGCGACCTGATCTTGCAGAACTGAGAGCCCTTCAGCATAGCCAGCACATCCTCATCTTCGTTCAGATCTGGGAGAGGGAGATAAGTGTTGAGTCGGTTCAGTCATGTTAGACTCTGACCCCATGTGGGGTTTTCTTGGCAAAGGTACTGGAGTAGCTTGCCATTTCCTTCCCCAGCTCATTTTACACATGGGGAAACCGAGGCAAACAGGGTTCAGCGACTTGCCCAGGGTTACACAGCTAGTAAGTGGCTGAGGCTGGATTTGAACTCAGGTCTTGAATCCACAGCCGGTGCCCTATCCTCAGTCTCTGCTTCTAGGGGAGGACCCTGATGCTAGAGAGTAGCCTACTTAAAGAATCATCTCTATCCTCTTCCTGATTAGTTCAGTAGAATGACATTCATAGCTGGAAAGGAACTTAGAGTCCAGCCTCCCTCATGTTGTCCACTGCACCAACTAGCTGTCCAGGGAGAATAATCAGGGAGACCCTTACTGCGAGACCCTACAATATGCCCCCATCCCTGATTCACCTACCCACATGTACTGATACTGAGCCCTCTATCCCTGGGCCCCCTTCCCTCTCATCTCTGCTACTGACCCTTCCATTCCTGCTTGGACTCTCCCTTCCTCAATACTAAGCTCTTCTATCTTTGTTTTTCCCATCTCTGATACTGAATATCCCTCTCTTGGAAAGAACACTGTAAACCTGAAGTTGCAGGAACTGAGTTCACATCATAGCTCTATAGTACAATGTGACCTTGGGTAAGTCACTTAACCTTGTTTGACTCAGTTTCCTCATCTGTAAAAATGATGGATTTGCATTAAACTGTCATCCCATGATGATCTTCAGCTCCAAGTCCTTTCATTCTCAGCATTGAGCCCCCATTTCAGATACTTTCTAATATCCCCCTGCACACGTATGCGAGCGCACACATACATTTCCAAGTCCCCAGTGCCGAGATTTAATACGTGTTTTAAGCCACTCTCGCTACATCCTCAAGGTGGCCCTCTCAGAGGCCTTTGTTTGGAAATGCTGAATAAACTAATAAGCAGAGAGGGACACTATTTGTTCTCACTCCAACCTTGTTAATGTTCATTCCTCTGGAAGGATGAGAAGCTGAGCCTTTGGAGATACATGTTGTCTCTACCCTTCACCTGACTTCTTATCCTTGACTCCTTTGTCTCCAGCCCTCAACAGTTTCTAGGGAGAAGGCTTCTGGTGCCTTCCGCTCAACACCTGGCACACCCTGGCATCCAGAAACAGCCTTTCGCCTGGCTCAAAACCCTGATAGTCAGGAAGTTCTTCTTCCTATCTAACCTAAATCTCTCTTGCTGCAACCTAAGCCCCACTCCTCACATTCCCTGCTGCCCTGTCCAATTCTGGGGGCAGGGTGCAAATGACAGCTCAGGCTTTCTGGGCTCCAGGTGAGCAGTTGAGAGCCACAAGCTAAGAGCCGCAGGCTCTTGGGCACAGTCCAGCTTGGCTGCTACCCTGGTGGGAAAGGCTGGGTGGGGCTGATCTCTGGTTGACCTGCTCTGTTTTTGGAGATAGCTGATATCTGGCCTCCCACTTACCCTGGGCCTCTCCCTTTCCTAGTCCTTTTTTTTTACCTCTTAATTTGAGATTCCCTACCATCGACCTCCTGCCTATATTCTCATCCCTGGGCCACATCAGCAAGCCCTGTCTTCATCCAAATCCCAGGCTGGGGCCTGAACAACAGACCACACAGGGGATCAGGGGAAGATTGTAACTGTTTCTCCTCCCTTAGTGCTCACAATAATCCTGCTCCCACATCACCCCATCCCACTTCTGCTCTTGGGATTCTAATGAGAATGGACATCTTTCTTCAAGTGTATGGGCCCAACCCAAGCTAGAGAAATAACCGTGTGTGTAGACTCTTACGGGGTCAGAGGGGAGTGGACAATGCCTATGTTCTTAGCTAAGGAGCAAGAGGTATCATTCTCTGATTCTTAGGGTCTCCAACATTTCTCTGTCCCCTCCCCATCTAGCCAACCTCTCTACGATACATTCTTTTTTTGGGGGGGGGTGGCTTGAGAAGGGGGGATGAGAATCAAAGGAGGTACCCTGTTACAAATTCATTTTTTCCCAGCTCACGCCTCACCTCATAAATATTGGAAGCCCATGGAAGTAACTTTGCTGAAATCCAGACACGGCTCATCACTAGGATCATAGACCGAGATCCAGAAGGCAGTTCATTTATTCATTTCTTTTATTTTAGGAGGCAGCTGGGGTTAAGTGACTTGCCCAGGATCACACATCTAGTAAGTATCTGAGGCCAGGTTTGAACTTAGGTCTTCCTGACTCCAGGGATGGTGTTCTATCCACGATGCCACCTAGCTGCCCCCAGAAGGTACTTTAGGAAGCCACCAAGTCGCAGGGTCATAGATCTAATTGGTCCAAACCCCTCAATTTATAGATAAGGAAACTGAGGCACTAAGAGGCTAAGTGACTTGTCCAAGGTCTCAAAGGGAACAGGTGTCAGAGGTGGGACTGGAACCAAGGTCCTCAACTCAGTTTCCTCATCTGTAAAATGTACAGCTCGTTGAAGCAGGTAGTACAATTATCATAATAATGGTGCTACCTACTTCAGTGAGCTGCTGTGAGGCTCAGGGGATGACAGACGATAAACACTGGATGAGCAATACTTTTTTCCTTCTTCAATGTGAGTTATTATTATTTTGGCACTGAGTTGAGTCCAGAGATCCCACTCCCACCACTTCCCTGGCAAATAGAGAGCTGGGGGGATGGACCAACCCTTGTTCCTATGACAACTACCAACCAATCGTGCCTCAGAGTCACAGCTGTTGGGCCCAGCCCCCTCTTCTTCTCCCATTTCCCTGCCCCCCACACATTGGAAGCAAATGACTAATACCGGAAATGGAGGTGAGTCACTCACTCCCGGGGGCTGGTTTACCCAGACTCTTTCTGCAAACAGTCTAATGGTGGGTGATGTTGCCCCAAACCCAGACGATTCTCCTGGCTTCCCCAATTCAGTGGCTACTTTCACTAAGCACTCACACATACACCCACAGCCCTGACAGAATCTTCTGGGGTCCACGGAACCACTTGTTCCTCACCAGGGCCACCTCTGGACACAGAGTGACCTACTGGGAGAAGGATTTGTCATTTGAACTCATAAGCCCCAGGCGTTCCCCCATCACCTATTGCCCTTTGGAGTACTCACATCACCTGCCTCCAG